AGTTATACCTCCATTACAAAACCATGTGTCATGGATGTATTATGCATTAATTTTTATCGATATAATCATTCAGTTAGTTTTTGAAACATTGATAGATAACGCTACACTTCAATGTTGGTTTGGTTGTATTTTGCAGAATACGTAAATTGAAATTCTCTATCTGGTTTTACTAAAACCTCGTTTTTCATTAGATTGTGGGATGGTTGCTTTCTGCATAACGCTATACAATTATAATGCCCGCATTGTTATCAATCTGTTTATTTTATAGTATATTATACCTAAATGGAATTGGGCTAAATATTGTCATAATTTAAAAGCTTATAAATAAACTCTCAAAGATAAGACATAGGTAATTTTTTAAATGAAAATGAAAATTTTAGAAATCGGCTGTAGTAGTTTATTAGTGTTTGGTTTATGGTATAGCTAAAATACAAAGAAGTTACTATTTTATTATATTTTTAATATATTATAAAATAAGCAATTCTGTGATATCTATTATTAGGAAACTGGTTCTGCCATCGCACCGGTGCATTGGTGATTAGTAGCACGAGATTAATATGGCCCGGCATGGCATATTGAAAGAGGGTTTAGAGCTGGTTGATTTCACACACTAGTGATCATTTATTTCGCAAACACTCATGGCGTTCACGCACGTGTGTGACAATTGCCTATATTCAACCCCTTAAAAACTACCCGGATCGAATCCCCTTAACTCTAAGTGTCAGATTTTTTTTTAATCATTCCAATATTGACTACCTATGTAAGTATAAATAATATAAGTAAGTTCGAGTATGAACGAACGATAGCGGACACGTATACTGCTGAATTCAACTACTCAAAAATATTAAATATAAAAGGCCTCTTTGTGTCAAGTACTACTATAGGCGTGCGCAGACCTCTATTTTAGGGGGTGCCTGCAATACTTTTGGGCCCTTTCTTAAAAAAAAACGTGTAGGTATATTTAAAACATTTTTTTTAATTTAATATTGTAGTGTATTAGTCCTTGTGAATAGGTTTTCTTTGAATCTCGTGTATTTTCTTGAATTATTTATTATTTGTATTTTTGTAATGAACTGTAGCTATTATACTATCATAATTAATTTTGACATGAAACTTTTAAAAATTTTATTTTATTTTTTTAATTACGAAATGTTATTTATTTATACAAAATATTTTAGAATTAATTTAATTTAATTTAAGTAACACCAACACCAGTTAAAATACTGGCCCTTTACTCTTAGACTTTTATAACATATTCATACATTTACAACATTTTGGTAGGAACTCGAGCACACCCGGTGCCCCCCATGCGCAGGTCTATAAGTACTACCATCTACTCTTAATATCTGTAAGTCAACTGCAGACTACCTACAGTGTTTCGAAAGAATTTGTGGTCGTTACCGTGAGCATGTGTCACTAAATTGTGAAACTTGAGTGGACAACATTTTAATTCTATTATTATCCTTGCATTTCTCCTAAATTACGATCCAAATGCACTTTTTCTTGTTCTTCATCAATGTATGTTATTGCACGAAAATGTTGTAAAAAAAAATTAAAATTATATTATATTATTATATTATTATTATTATTATTATTATTATTATTATTATTATTATTATTA